GTTGGGGAGTTCGCCTACCCTGTTGGGGAGCTCATCTACCTACTCTGTTGCAGAGTTCACCTACCCTGTTGGGGGTTCATCTACCCTGTTGGGGGTTCGTCTACCCTGTTGGGGAGTTCGCCTACCCTGTTCGGGAGCTCATCTACCTACTCTGTTGCAGAGTTCACCTACCCTGTTGGGGGTTCGCCTACTCTGTTGGGGAGTTCACCTACCCTGTTGGGGGTTCGTCTACCCTGTTGGGGAGTTCACCTACCCTGTTCGGGAGCTCATCTACCTACTCTGTTGGGGAGCTCATCTACCTACTCTGTTGGGGAGTTCGCCTACCCTGTTCGGGAGCTCGCCTACCCTGTTCAGGAGTTCACCTACCCGTACGTTGCTGTCGCTGCTGCTGTTGCTGCTGCCACCTCTTTCACTGACATCAGGACCCAGGTTCTGGCTTCCAACATGGACTGAAGACCAGTGGCTCTCCAGGAATCGTCCAAGCCTTCAGCTCCAGGTGGGGACTGCTGAGGCATCCAGCCTCCTAGACCGAGCAGCTACTGGGTTCTTGGCCTCTCCAGTATGAGAAAGCCATCGTTGGACTACCTGGACCATATTCTGCAAGCCCATCTAATAAATCCCCTGTAGTGTATACTCATTCCATCAGTTCTGTCCCTCTAGAGAACTCTGACTAATGCAGATGGCATTTCTGAGGATGGCACCCGATTTTCCTCTGTCTCCCCCAGATCCAGTTTCCCCAAATGAAAACAAGGCAATTGTTGACAACATGGTCACTGTGGCACCAGGGTCCATGTCAGATATTTTTAAAACAGGCACTCAAAACATTCCATAATATTCCACAACTTTCTTTAAAATTATTTCAAAACAAATGTTATCTGGTAAGAGTTCTGTCCCCATTCAACCTCTGCTCCTAAGCTGCTCCCTTGGCAAACTGTTGGTTTTTCCCCTCTGGAGTCAGCAGGTCAATGGCGACAGAGTGCTGGCCACTGTCTTGTTCCTGCTCTGCTCCTCTGAGGCCTCAGCAGACTGTTGCTAAAGACCTGATGGCTTTGAACGCTGGTGGCCTGCAAGGACAGCCACACAGCTCAACCTGGCTGTCCTCTGAACTGTGGCTCCTGAGAAGCCATGCTCACATTTTTTTGCCACATTCAGTGACAGTGAATTACTTAATACGTTCCTTAAATTGGCTAATTTCAAAAATCCACATTGTGACATTTTACCTCAGAAGTTACTTAGAGAGGTTGCATGGTGCTGTGCTTAAGCATGAACTTGAGAGACACCTTGTCTTGGTTTAAGCCTCTCTCTTTATAAAATGGGGATAATAGGGTCAGCGAGATGGCTCAGTGGGGAAAGGTGCTTGTTGCCAGACTTGAGTTCGATACCTAAGATCCGCAAGGTGGAGAGAACTGACTCCTGAAAGTTGTCCTCTGACCGCCATACCTGCACTATGCATGTGGGTGTGTGCATGAACACACACACACACAAACACACACACACGCACACACTAAATGCAATAAAAAAGATGTTGATAATAGTAACTATCATCTGGGCCCTCCACACAATTCACAAAGGCCAGTGAACTGTTCAGGCCTGGACCACAGGTAGACGTCAATCTTTTCTTCCCACTGTGCTGACTGGACTGCAGCTTCTCTGCAGGGATAGGTGGGTGACAGTCCCTTCCTCATTTGCTTACCTAGTGTCCAATGGTTCTGCACTACTCAGATTCAGAGGGTTTAGTCCCTTCCCTTCCTGGTCACTCTTGGCTATAGTGGAGCCAAGGAGTGAAAGAGAGACAGCCTAGAGCTCCTGAGGAGACAGAGAGGGACCCCACTTGAACTTGCCTCTGAGGACCCCTGACCATGCTCCTTGGTCTCAGCACATTTCATTAATAAAACATAAAGTCAAAGGAAAAAATTATTATTTTTATTATTTTGTAGTCCAGGCTGGTCTGGGGCCCTACTATCTAGCCCAGGGTGGCTTCAAACTTGTGGCACTCTTCCTGCCTTAGCCTCCTGAGTGCTGGGAATTACAGGTGTGAGTCACAAAGCCTGGCTGAAAAAACGATCATCAGTTTCAAGCATGGAGCTTCTGCACACCAAGCCCTTTGATCCATATTGGCTCCACTGACCCAACAAACCAAATCAATTTTAAATAGAAAAAGCTGACAAGATAAGAAACAAAGAAACAAAATATTATGTTGGTGTATTGAGTATGCTTTATGCTGTTATTATAAGAATTCAGGGCTGGAGAAATGGCTCAGTGGTTAAAAGCACTGACTGCTCTTGCAGAGGACCCGGGTTCAATTCCCAGCACCCACATGGTGGCCACAAACCATACTTAACTCCAGTTCCAGGGGAATCCGAAGCCCCCTTCTGACCTCTGCAGCACTGCACGACATGCATGCACTCACATAAAATATACATAAAATAAAATTAATAAATAAAATATTAAAAAAAAAGAATTCAAAAAGTTGCTAGGCATGGTGTCAAGCTAGAAGGAAGTAGAATCTTGGGTAGTGCAGGCGCCCTCAGTATCTTCTGGCCCACTTTCTACTGACAGAATTGTAAGCAGGATCTAAACAACGCATTCATCTGTCTAGATCACAACTCACTGTTTGCTGTGGGTGCTGACATCTCTGGCAAGTGTGGTAGCAGATGAGAAAGGCAGTGGCTGACTGGACTGGGATGCATCTAGGAGGCTGGTGTGCACGTCTGTGAGGGTGTTTCCAGAGACAGTTAACTAAGGACAGGAAATACCTGGCCTGAATGTGGGCAGCACCACCCCCTAGGTTGGAGGACTGGATGGAAGAGGGAGAAAGGAGAGTACCCTCTAGTGTGGTCATTTTCTCTCTGCTTCCTGGCCACCATGAAATGAGCAACTTTGCTCTGCCATGCCCTTTGCTGGAATGTTCTGCCCCACCACAGGCCCAGCTACCACAGACTTCTGAAACCATAAGCCGAGATAAACCTTTCCTCCTTGAAGGTGATCCTTTTTCAGATATTTGTCACAGCAACAGAAATTCACACGAGAGGGACTCCCAAAGCCTCAAAGGCTTAGAAGCAGGACAGTCCTTAGACAGCTCTGTCCTCAGCACTTCCTATGAAGATGGAAAGCTCTGTGTTGGGTAGCACAGTAGCCACTAGTCACAGGCAACTTACTGGGTACTCACAAGTGTGTATGCTGTGGCTAAGGAACACAATTTTTAACTCAATTAAGAACTACGGTTGTAGGGTTGGAGAGATGGCTCAGCAGTTAAGAGCACTGGCTGCTCTTGCAGAGGACCCAGGTTTGAATTCCAGCACCTACATGGTCCATAACTCCAGTTCCAGGGGATCTGATGACCTCTTCTGATCTCCATGGACTTTGCACAACACGGGTGCAAGTACATACATTCATACACTTAAAATAAAATTAATAAAAAAAAAATTTTTTTTAAAGAACTACAGTTGCAGGGCCAGTGAGATGTCTTAGCTGGTAAAGGTGTTTGCCACCAAGCCTGGTGACCTAAGATTGATTCTTGGGACCCATATGCTGGAAGGAGAGAACTGATGCCTGCAAGTTGCCCTCTGACCTTCACATGTGCACCATGGTGTGCAGCCCAGCCCCTATCATCCATATACAAATAAATGAATAAATGTAATTTTTTAAAAATCCTAGTTTTAGGGCTAGTGAGATGCCTCAATTGGCAAAATGTTTGGCTCACAAACATATATATTTAGTACAGATATAATTTTCTGCCCAATACTTAAAAATTTTCCTTTTTAAAAATTTACTTGTGAGTATGTACACGTGCACGCCTGTGTGTACCACTGTGAACCTGTGGAGGTTAGTGGTAAAACCAGAGCAGTATGTTTTTCTTTCTACCATGAGGGTTCTGGAACTTGAACTCAGGTCGTCATCTTGGCAGCAAGTGCTGAGCCATCTGGTCAAGCCCCAATACAAAAGAGACAGGGTCCACCTGGAGCTGGAACTCACTATGTAGACCAGGCTGGCCTGGAACTCACAGAGTTCTGCTTGCCTCTGCCTCCCAAGTGCTGGAATTAAAGGCTTGGCACACCTCACTTGCCAGAATACTTACATATAAGATCTAGAATTGGTTGAATCCAGGGCCGTAGAATCTGTGATTAAGGAAGGCTGACTGTATTCAATTTCAGTGTTTTAATTCAATAAAAAATTAAACTTAATTTTAATTTTACCTTTAAACATCACATATTCAGTGGCTACTGTATTGGATAACACAGCTCTAAGTATCTGCCTCAGAGGGCTAAATTAAAAAACATAATTGACTTTTTGAAGCAAGTTCTCACTCTGTAGCACAGGCTGGCTTTGAGCTCAGGAATACTTGTCTTGGCCGCTCAAGTGCTGGGTTATGTGCCAGTACCACCACGTCAGCAATCAAACTCTCCATAAATGATCATTTTAAAGTTTCTATTCTTTCTTTGGTATGTTGAAATTCTAGCTTCCTAGATTACAAGAAATCTATTCTAGATTACAAGAGCGGAAACAAACTGTACAGGATAGCAGACTAAAACTTCAAAAACAACAAAAAAATCCCCATTTTTTAGGCTGGGAAATTCGAGAGGGGTGATGGCTTGTTAGTGGTGGGGCCCAAGGGGAACCAAAACCTCCAGACTCGGTGCTCTCACCAAGTTTCCATGCCAACTCCACCCGAGCGGGAGGTGCGCAGCGGCGGTCACGCAGGGCACCTGCACCGGAGCCCTTTAAGTATGCAAAACACGACCACCGGTGGCTTTCCGTCTAAGCCAGCGATCTTATTCAAAGTAGATCGGCGAGCACGGTTCGGGGTTCCGGGGTGCGCAATGACACCGCGGGGTGGGACGCAGCCGCCTGCCGGGTGCGCGGGTCTCGGTGAGCCCGCGCCGTGTGCACAGCCTTGCGCCGCGTGCACAGCCTTGCGCCGCGTGCAACAGGTGGTCGCAACTACAGGGTCCACTCTCCGGGCGGTCCGGGTCCCCCAGCAGCCCGCGACCCCCGCCTACCTGCGCGCTCCCCGCCGCCCTCGCTCAGCCCCGCGGCCGCGCGCAGCGCGCTCCCGCAGCTCGCCGACAGGTTCCCGGTGGCCCTGCGCGCCAGCGTCAGGATGGGCGCCGACCAGCCGTCCCGGGCCCGCGCCGCGCTCCGCAGCTCGCAGGGGCTGGGCAGCTGGCTCCGGTCCACAACCTCGAACTCTTCCCCCGGCTCCGGGCCGGCCTCGGGTTCCGGCTGCGGCTCCGGGCTCGGCTCCAGCCCCGCCGGGCAGCCGTCTCCATTAGCGGCCATGTTGGCCGGTCACGTGGTCCGGGCGGGGGCGGGCTGGTTACTCCGGCCGATCCTCGCGCTGCTGCTCCTTGGGCTTCCGGGCCTGGACAGATGGCTGGGAAGGCTGGAGTACCCAGAGCACGCGAGCTCCCAGCCGCCGGGGGCACTGGACCGAGTGGAAGCTGCTCCAGAAAGTTCCGCTTCCTGCGGGGTGGGAACGCAGCTCGCGGGGCGTACATCTCTAGCAACACGACTTTAAAAAATATTTTATATTTTTATTTTTAGTGTATGTGTAATGTCTGCGTGTAAGTGCACCGTGTCATGCAGGGCATCGGATCCCCTAGAACTGGAGTTGATGGCTGTTTGCAGCCATATGGGTGCTGAGATTCGAACCCAGCCTTCTGCAAGAGCAGCCAGTGCTCTTAACCACTGAGCCATCTCTCCAGACCCAAGGACTTTTTTTTTTTTTTTTTTTTTTTTTTCTTGTCTTTTTGAGCCAGGGTCTCCCTGTAGCCCCAGCTGGCCTCGCTGTGTAGACCAGGCTGGCCTTGAACTCACAGAGGTCCGCCTGCCTCAGCCTCCCAAGTGCTGGGATTAAAGGTGCACACACACAGAGGACTCTTTAGAAATTTCCTTCTATTTTTAGACAGTCTCCCTGTAGCCTCTGTATAGACCAGGCTGGTTTCCATCTCACAGAGATCTGCCTGCCTTGCCTCCAGAGTGCTGGGATTTAAAACGTGCACCACCAGGCTCAAATCAATTTAATCTTTAATTTTGATTTTATGTCTATTTTTCTTTGAGATAGAATCCTACAGCGCCCCCCCGCCCGGGTCTCATGTAGCCCAGGCTGGCTTTCAATCATGTCTAGTTTTTCTCTGAGTCATAATCTCATTGGTTGTTTTTGTTTTCTTTCCCCTAGACATGGTCTTATAAAGCCCGGACTGGCCTCAAATTCTGCTGTAGTGAGGATGACTTTGAACAACTTATTTGAAAATTTTTTTTTCTGACCAATACTGAAGATTGAACCCAGAACCTCACACATGCTAGCCAAGGCCTCTGCCATAGAGCTGTGTCCCTCCATCCCCACCCCAACCAGCAGTAACCTTGAACTTCTGATCCTCCTGCCTCACTTTGCAGCGCTGGGTTACCCATGGGCAACACCATCCCTGGATTTCTGCAATTGTTTTGTGCATGCAGGACAAGCAGCTGAGCTGCATCCCCAGTCAGAATCTCAGCCTGGAGCCCTGGCTGACTTAGAACTCACTGTGATCCTCATGCCTCAGCCTCCTGAGTACTAGGACTATGGGCGTGCCACACCATGCTGACTCAAGTCTAATATTGTCTACTTTGTCATTTTTCTGCAGCGTTCTTCAGAAGAAACCCTGAAAGGGCTGCTGAGGAGACTGGGACAGATGAGTCAGAGCAGAAAAAAAAAAAAAAGAACAATCTTTTTCTTTTAAATCAAATGAGGCAACTTGGCGGGCAAGGCCGGCAGTGGTGCACTGGAAATGAGGGCTGGGCTTTGTGCAATTAAAGTGTAGAAAGAACAGAACAGACCTCATTACTGAAGATTTCTCACCTAAGGGCTATGAAGCAGATGTTAGCCGGTGTGATTATTGTCTCTGGTTTCCAGTTGTGAGGCCTGGACAAGTCACTGTACATATATGTGGCTAAATATGGACTAAATGTCACTAGAATTCAACACTTTGCAAAATGAGGCACATGGACCACATCTAACCCCAGAACTGCCCGTGTTCACAATTATTTAAAAGTTGTTCTCAGGCATGGTAGCACTCACCTTTAATCCTTGCACCAGGAAGCAGAGGCAGGCAGGTCTCTGAGATCAAGGGCAGCCTGGTTTACATAGAGAGTAAACCAGCTGGGAGACCCTGTCTCAGCAAAACAAAACAGAACAAAAGTTGTTGCGGATCTGTAGAAATAAGTGATCTGGATGTTAACTTGAATCCCTGACAATTTAGGGTGTTTCCTAATGGTAACAAACTATTGGAAGTCATTGAACGGGCAGCTGTTAGTCATTACGCTCCCTTTGGCAGCCCCAGTACTAAAATGGGAACCATACGGAGAAGATTAGCACAGCACCTGTGTGCCCAGGCCACGATAGCCACAGTTCACATTGTCCAGGTCATAACATCCATCTCACCCAGCTGCAGAGTGAGGATCATGTGACAGTCTCTGCATAGTGCCAGGTTCTGGTTCATGGGCCACCAGAAGACCCACATCTCCAAAGAGTGAGACTTCACCAGGTTTAATTCAGATAAATGTGAAGATATAGTGCCCGAGGAGTGGTTTGTACTCTGTTCACCTTTCCTCCTCACCATGATGAGCTATGGCAGCAAATATATCCCCAGCCAGGACCCCTGGACAAGTTGGGGTCTCTACACTTGAGGGTTTTCACTGTGCTGAATGCCCCTCACCCTACCATTGTCACTAATGTCATATTCAATTAAAAAAATGCTTCACTGACATATGCTAATAGAAAGTAAAGAAAACTTTGAGACTATCAAGATAGATATGCAGTGCTGTTTAGTACTGAGGGAGATAGACTGAGTTCTTGGAACACTGCATGGGAAAGTGGAAATAGATGGTCACGGGGAAAGGGAGATACAGATCAGTAGATGGGAAGTTCCCAAGTCAGAACTCCATGGTGGGGAGGATTCTGGTGATACTAACCTAACGTGGCTCTTTAATTTTTTAAAATTAGATGAATTTATTTACCTGTGTGTATGTGCATATGTGACCAGAGCTTAGAGAACGTCTTGCAGGAGTCAGTTTTCTCCCCTGACCTTGTGGGCCCTAGGGATCAAAGTCAGGTAGCCAGACTTGGTGGCAAGTGCCTTTAACCCATGGAGCTATCTCACTGACTTTAACAGACATCACCTGGAAGATGGTGAAGGATGAGGAAACTAACCAAATATCAAGAGTGGTAAGAGCTCTTGCTAAATTGACTTCACACTGTTAATCTTCACTGTCGACCTGACTGGATTTAGAACTGTCATGAAACACACACTTTTGTGTGATGCCTTTTGAAGGTGTTTCCAGAGAGGTTTAAGGAAGGACGACCTTCCTTGAATGTGGGCAGTCCCAGAATGAGTAAAGAGAATGCAAGCTGAGCACCAACATTCATCCTGATGAACTTCCTGGCTGTGGATGGCACCTGAACAGCCGCTTCCTACTTCTGCTGTCATGCTTTCCCTCCATGATGGACTGTATCCCCTTAAGCTATGAGCTAAAACAAACCCTTAAGTTGTTTTGTCAGGTATTTTGTCACAGCAACAGCAAAGTAACTAGTACACAGGGTACTTTGTTAAAAGTAAATTTTACAAGGACACTTATGAGAATAGTTTAGCAAAGCAAAGAATCATCATTACCATGGCCTCTTCAGGAAAGCGGGAACCAGTCTTGGTTCAACTCATTCCACTATTTTCACGACCTGTGTGGAACCTGAAGGCTGGTGGTAGAATAACCACTCAGAGAGCGGTACTGCTTCCTAGGAATTTGTGCAAGTGTTGGGTTATGTCAATAGCTGAGGACAGGCTGCTGGTCTTTCCTTGGGTGGGGTGGGCAGACATAAAGCAGTTTGAAATAGCAAAGAGAGGCCAGTGAGATGGCTCAGGGGTTAAAGGCACTTAGTGCCAGAAGATGCAAGCCTGTCTAATCCCTGGAACCTACCTAAAAGTGAAAGGAGAGAACCAGCTCCTCACTGTTACCCTATGACCTCCACATTCATGCCTTAGCATGTGCACTCACGCACATCATACACATGCATACATGTACTAATAATAAATGAATAAAATGAAACAAAGACTTGTCCAGAATCCTGAATGAATTTCCAGTGCTACTGGACAGAGAATGTTGTTTGCAAATACCAGGTTCAGCATCTGAATTGTACAAAAACATGAACTCATTTTTGCAGTTTTAATAATGTATTGGGCTAAGCTGTGCTTCATAAATAGCACCTAAACCCATGGCTCAACACAGAAGTTTGATTCTCAGCTTGCTGTGTGTTACTGTGGGCAGAGGAAGTGCCTCTCACCCTCCCTCAGGGTGTAGGCCACTGGAATGTCTTTTTTTTTTTTTAATTTATTTTTATTTAATGTGTATGCGTGTATTGCTTGCATGTAGGTAGGTGCACCCTTGTCATGCAGTGCCCTCGGAGGACAGAAGAGGCCATTGGATCCCCTGGAACTGGAGCTACAGATGATTGTTAGCTGTCATGTGAATGCTGGTAATCGAATCCCGGTCCTCTGCAAGAACAGTGCTCTTAACCACTGAACCATCTCTCCAGCCCTGGGAATTTTTTTTTAAATTAATTTTTAGGTTAGCATACAAAATAATGGGTTTCAACACAGTGTCTTCATACATATGTGTCCTTACACTTTGCTCTTATTATTTCCTCTCCCCCACTTTCTGCCCCGCCCCTTCTTTCCAGCAGGTTCCCTATCCTCCCCTGGTTAGTCTACACTTCCGCTTTCTTTGTTTTTAAACTTTATTACATTCTACTTACTTATTTTTGTTTGTGTTCATGTATGTGATGTGTGGGCACATGCAGGCATGTGTGGAGGTCGGAGGAAAACTTGTGGGCGTCAATTCTCTCCTACCATGTGGGTTTGGGGGATGGAACTCTGATGGTTAGGCGTGGCAGTGAGTGCTTTTACCCACAGAGCCACCCGCCCCTCCCCCACTGCTGCTCTCTCATTACGAGAATCCTTTTCCTCAGTTCCCACCTCCCTCAAGCTCTTGTCCTCCTCGCTCATGAGCTTTCAAGTTTTTTTTTTTTTGTCTTTTTGAGACAGGGTCTCCCTGTAGTCCCAGCTGACCTAAACTCACTATGTAGGCCAACCAGGCTGGCCTTGAACTCACAGAGATCTGTCTGCCTCTGCCTCCCAAGTGCTGGGACCAAAGGTGTGTGCTACCATGCCCAGCCCCAAGTTTTTTTTATATATGTTTATTTTATTATTTTTATTTTATATGTAAACGTGTATTGCCTGCATGTAGGTAAGTGCACCCGTGTCGTGC